AGCTGGTAGTTTAGAATGCCCAGCCCCGGATAATATTTAAAGTCTAACTTTAAAGGACTTTTGCACTGGAATGGACTTTTAATCACTGTCATGAAACAGCTATAGTCTACTTTTAATTTAACATTCAGTGTGTACACAACACACATATACACACGCACATATTTGAAAAATCAGAACTGGCTTTTCGGGGAAGAAAGGAAAGTACTAAATGCAGGGATGAAAGGGAAGAGATATTTGAAACATTTTGAAAAATAAATCTGTGCTCTGCCCCTTTTGTTCCTGTTAAGTGTTGTTACCCATCCTAAGTGATAGGATTGCTGCTGGTTAATATATCAACCATCTGAAAATAAAATAAAGAATATTGAAAAGAAAATCTGTTAATTATGTTATTTGACTGAATACAGAATTGAGATAAAATAATACTTACAAGCTTATGTATTGTGGGGGTGGATTTAGGGCTGGGAGAGTGGTGCAAACACACTGGGCGCTGAGCCAAGGTGCTGGGCTTTCAGAAGGAGGCATGAAGCACTGACAAAGTCCAAGAGTCCTCCTGTCTTCTTCCCTAGCATTTTTCTTACCCGCCTTTGAGAAGGCAGTGCCTCCTTGCTAAAGTCAGGTGCCTTGGTTGCAGCACAAGAGCTGGGAGGGGGTGGAATTTTGGCCTTGCGCAGGGTGCTATTAGTACCCAAGTCCACCACTATGGTCACTGCACAGTCAAAGCCACCGCACAGGGGCAAGTTAAAATGAGCAGAATAGGCTTCCCTCTCAATTTGTTCCATTGTCATTTTTCCCCCCAGAAGAAGCAAGCAATGGCAATTTGCCAGGCATCTGCTTGGCAGCAGCATTCCCACATCATGCCAAGGCCATGGAAGTCAGCCCTGTGCACACTATGCCCTGAGAAGAACAGTGCCTGCCTGACAGCATCAACAATTCACCCACAGCAAAGGGAAGAAGTGGCAAGAAGTGGCAAGAGGTCATTCTGTTGCCTGTGCAACATGGGTGCTTCTTCCATTCTGAGGAGCTTGGGCGTCTCGCAAAATAAGGGAGAGGGGTGGGGTGGCTGTCAGTCCTGCAGCCAACTGTTTCAGAGCCCAGAAGGTGGAGGACATAGAGAATTCCTTTCTCGAGAAATGCAAGGCTGGACACAGAGCAGAGAGCAGAGAGAAGAAAGAAGACTGCCCTCTGCATCTGACCCCCAGCTGACAATACAATTTTTAGTATCCTGCTATGCTGTAAAGAGAAGGGCCATAGTAAAATGCCCTCTGAATTGATTATGAACAATAGAATAAGGAGAGTTGAACAATGCTGTCACCAGGGGTGGACTTTGGTAATACAGTGCCCTGAGCGAGGACAAAAGTTGGTGCCCTCCCCAATCTCACCTTCCATTCTGCACATGCTCTCAAAATGTGCTATGTCATAGTCTTGTGCCCCCTTGGCTCAGCACACTGGGGGGGGGGACTGCCCGCACCGCCCCCTATCCAGCACTGCTATCACTAAAGGCAAATTGCACACACTTTTTGAAATTCAGGGCTGGCACTGTCTGGGGATATGACTAAATGTATGTAGCACCTTTAATTGGCTCCACAGGAAAGACATAATTAGCACCTTTTTCGAATGTAAATAAAAAAAAATCAATCAACACTTAACTTGGAGATTTACCAGTAACATGCAGTACAGAAATATTTGTAAATCCTTATTCAAGTGTTATAGGTCCCAAAATCTTGCAAGTGACATCACTGCTACTAGTCAACAATTTTCCATGGAAATAAGAGTCTCATAGTCATCAAAAAGTAGCCATGATGCCTATGTACTGCCTCCACTGTCAGAGGCAATATGTATCTGAATACCAGTTTCTGGCAAGCACAAGGAAGAGAATGCTCCTTCACTGAGCACCTGCTTGCAAGCTTGCCATGGGCATCTGCCTGGCCATTGTGAAAACAGGATGGTGCATTTGTTGGGCCTTTGGCCTGATCCCGATGGACTCTTCTTCAAATATATCTAAAAAATGGATTTAAAAAAAAATCTATCAGAGTTTTAGAAGGGTGGCTTAGCAACAATGATAGTGCAGTGAAGCCCCATCACTAGTGCTGCCCTCCATAAACTGGTCTAGACATTTTAAAGCTACCTAAGACATATTCACATCTTGTAGCATGTAATTCTGTAAGTTAATTATGTGTTGTGTAAAAAAAAGCATCTTCTTTTTTGTGTGTCCTACCAAGACTAGTGTCAATCAGTTTGACCGGCTGATCCCGAGTTCTATGAGAGGGTGCTGTGAAATAATAACACAAAAAAAAGCAAAAAGGCCCATGTTAGCTTCCCGGAGCTCCTTGGATGAGGATCTGGACAGAAGTACGATAAAAATAGTGTGAAAAATTAGACTATATTCTGTTTTGACACTACAGTATAATTCATAACACAAATAGAGAAGATTGCAATCAGACCAGTCAAGATGGAAGTAGCTCTTTCTGAAAAAAATGTGGTTGCAAGGGAACAAGGTTTTTCAATTATAAATTTCATAATCCAAAATGTGGGTTTTTTTTCCATTTCAAAAGTGGTAGGATATTATAAGTGCATAGTCAAGTTGAGTGGGATCAATTCCAATCTGTTACCTCCGAGGATGTGGACAGGCTGCTTGGACGAGTGAAACCAACCACCTGTCTCCTGGATCCTTGCCCATCCTGGCTTATAAAAGCTAGCCGGGGAGGACTGGGCGATGGGCTTCGTGGGGTGGTGAATGCTTCCCTCCGTGAGGGAGCCTTCCCAGACCCGCTGAAAGAGGCAGTTATTAAACTGCTTCTTAAAAAACCATCTTTAGATGCGGCCACGATGGCCAACTATTGTCCAGTCTCAAATCTTCCATTCTTGGGCAAGGTGATTGAGCGAGTGGTTGCTGAACAACTCCAGGCACGCCTGGAAGAAGCGGACCATTTGGATCCCTTCCAGTCAGGATTCAGGCCTCATCATGGGACTGAAACTGCCTTGGTCACACTGGTTGATGATCTCCGGCAGGCTAGGGACAAAGGTGAGAGCTGTTTCCTAGTTCTGCTGGATCTCTCAGCGGCGTTTGATACCATCGACCATAACATCCTTCTGGACCGTCTTGAGGGGTTGGGAGCTGGGGGCACTGTCATACAGTGGTTCCGCTCCTTCCTCCTGGGCCGTGTTCAGAAAGTGGTGGGGGGGTGAGTGTTCAGACCCCTGGGCTCTCACTTGTGGGGTGCCTCAGGGTTCTGTCATCTCCCCCATGCTTTTCAACATTTACATGCAGCCGCTGGGAGAGATCATCAGGAGGTTTGGGCTGGGTGTTCATCAGTATGTGGATGATACCCAGCTCTACCTCTCTTTTAAATCAGAACCAGTGAAGGCGGTGAAGGTCCTGTGTGAGTGTCTGGAGGCGGTTGGAGGATGGATGGCGGCTAACAGATTGAGGTTGAATCCTGACAAGACAGAAGTACTGTTTTGGGGGACAGGAGGCGGGCAGGTGTGGAGGATTCCCTGGTCCTGAATGGGGTAACTGTGCCCCTGAAGGACCAGGTGCGCAGCCTGGGAGTCATTTTGGACTCACAGCTGTCCATGGAGGCACAGGTCAAATCTGTGTCCAGGGCAGCTGTTTACCAGCTCCATCTGGTACGTAGGCTGAGACCCTATCTGCCTGCGGACTATCTCGCCAGAGTGGTGCATGCTCTGGTTATCTCCTGCTTGGACTACTGCAATGCGCTCTACGTGGGGCTACCTTTGAAGGTGACTCGGAAACTACAACTAATCCAGAATGCGGCAGCTAGACTGGTGACTGGGGGCGGCCGCCGAGACCGTATAACACCGGTCTTGAAAGACCTACATTGACTCCCAGTACGTTTCCGAGCACAATTCAAAGTGTTGGTGCTGACCTTTAAAGCCCTAAATGGCCTCGGTCCAGTATACCTGAAGGAGCGTCTCCACCCCCATCGTTCTGCCCGGACGCTGAGGTCCAGCACCGAGGGCCTTCTGGCGGTTCCCTCATTGCGAGAAGCAAAGCTACAGGGAACCAGGCAGAGGGCCTTCTCGGTAGTGGCGCCCGCCCTGTGGAACGCCCTTCCAGCAGATGTCAAAGCGATAAACAACTACCTGACATTCAGAAGACATCTTAAGGCAGCCCTGTTCAGGGAAGTTTTTAACTTGGTTTCTATGGAAGCCGCCCAGAGTGGCTGGGGAGGCCCAGCCAGATGGGCGGGGTATAAATAACAAATTATTATTATTATTATTATTATTATTATTATTATTATTATTATTGCTATTTGCCACCTCTTCAGAACACAGCTGTTCAGAATGAAAAATTTAAACAGCTGCACAATTTAAGCCAAGTCTATAGCCCACTATTTTGCTTAATACAGTAGGTGCATTTCCGTGCTCTGGTTTTGCCAGAAGCAGCTTTCGTCATGCTGGCCACATGACCCCAAAAAACTGTCTGCGGACAAACCTCGGCTCCCTTGGCCAGTTAAGCAAGATGAGCACCGCAACCCCAGAGTCGTTCGCGACTGGAAGTAACTGTCAGGGGTCCTTTACCTTTACCTTTTTATAGCTTGATTTATTTTTCATTTCCATGAGACTTTCATGTCTCATACACACTTCCCCATTTAACTCAATGTGACTTGTTTCTTTGGTTAATAAACTAAACTAAAAGTGAAAAACTAACACACTGCTGCTGTTAGCTGGATGGTGTATCAGTTCTTCTCCATCAGACTCCCCTGGGAGGGCGGCACCTCCACCATAGTGGAACCCCTGCTGTACCTGGACAAGGGGAGAGGGATAGTGTCCAGTTCTAGTGCTGGCAATAACAGACAGAGAGCCCAAAAAAGGGTGGGGCACTGGTGGATACAAAGCTCTGCACATCTCCCCAACGACTTTTATTATTTGTCTGCTTGACTATGCTAACCTGTAGCTGGTGTAGCAAAAGAGCGGATACTCTTTTGCTACACCAGCAGATACTCTCACCTTCTGCCCTCGCTGGTAGACGCTAGCAAGTGACTCAGTTTAGGACACGGGAAAGCTCACCTGGCCCGGACACGGAAAGGATTGACAGATTGATAGTTCTTTCTCAGTTCTGTGAGTGGTGGTGCATGGCCATTCTTAGTTGGTGGAGCGATTTGTCTGGTTAATTCCAATAACGAACGAGACTCTGGCATACTAACTAGTTATGTGACCCCCAAGTGGAAGCTTTTAATTGCTGAAGAACTACTGTATTGCTGGAAGCCACCCAGAGTGGCTGGGGAAACCCAGCCAGATGGGCGGGGTATAAATATTATTATTATTATTATTATTATTATTATTAAATTCTTATTATTATTCTCTGTAAATGCTTAAGTGGTGCTACAGGGAACAAGAAAAGGAATCACTTCATAAATTTTGCACCTCAGTAATCCACCTGTCTCTGTATCCCAGTCAAAATTGTGATAGTTAGATTTGTTTTCATTTATAATACAGCACATGGCAAAAAAGGGGATCTGATCAAATAGCTTTTACTCAGCATTTGTAGACTGTTGCCATCAGCTAAAAAGAGAAGGAAATAATGCCAGAGGGAGGGATGTTGCTGTCGTGCGAGTATCAAATGGATGGGAAATGGGCCAAGGTTTGGGTCTGCTTTATGAATTCCATTACTGTCCGTTCTGAAAGACTTGTTTTACTGATTATAGAGTCTGGGTTATATGTAATCATAGGCTGTGTACACATTACCATTTATTCTGGCTCTAGTGTGCTCCCACCGCTGGGTTTTGAATCAGTGTATACACAATGCTACCCCCAATGCAGTACTTGCCTGTAGTTTCTTTGAGGCATTTCTCCTCAAGCCTGCCTCAACTAAACTGAAGCCAAATTCACTTCACGGATGAGCTGAGGTGTGTACACTTGAGATTGTTGTGTCTGTGCAGATTACAGCACATGTGCAGATGATAGCTTCATGAACAGGAGTTGCTGAGGTTACAGGGCCAAGGGAAACCAAGCAGGTCATGTGCAAGCATCCCCCCCCCTCTAGTGTGTTCAACAATGTGCAAATGTGACCTGAAACACAGCAAAGGGAAATGGCCTCACTGCATTTTAAGACACTAGTGCATACATAGTTATAGTGACAGCTCTGGTGTTAATTGCTTTATTCTCTTCACAGTGATGGGTGATTGAATGAAACTGATTAAAGAGGAGAAAATAAAGCAAATGAACACGAGAGAGAGAGAGAGAGAGAGAGAGAGAGAGAGAGAGACTCTAGAACTCATATTAGCTTTTCTCCATTGTGTGTGTGATACCTATTTATAGTACAAGTAGCACAGAATTTAGGAAATGCCATAAAAGCAAGTGAATTACAGCACCATGGCTTATATGTTTACTTGAAAGTAATTCCCACTGTTTTCAACAGGACTTACTCCCAAGTAAATGTGTCTAGGTGTGTGCTGTGAAACTGTTCTTTAACATTTGATCCTTATTGATCCAAGAATATTGAAAAATGCAGCACTACTGCAGCTATACACAATGGGAATAGGCAGGTCTCTTGCATATCACAGGTGAAAGCACATTCAGTGTAGCACTATTCCACCCTCAGGTTACAACCCCATGATTGTATATATGTTTAAGGAAAGATGATTGGGAATAAAAGCATTGAGTGTGGCTGGGAGTGACCAGCAGGATTGAGAAGTGTTACCTCCCTACTGCTCTCAGGAAATTCCATAGCTCTGAAGCTCTTCCAGCTTCAAAGGCAGGGAAAACACAGGGGTAGTGGCTGATTATTAAAGGAGTAGCTCTGAGTTGAAAGCACTTACTTGTTTGTTATGGCATCTTAGTAGAAATCAATATTGTACTAATGAACACATTAAGTCCCATCTGCTATTTCAACTTGGATTCCCTCCTTTAGGTAGATGAGAAATCAAGTAGATTGGTGTTTATGTTACATACACCCGTACTAGTAGGGAGAGGAGGAGGTTTGGTTTGTTTGGCCCATTTTTTTTACAGCAGATTGACCTGACATGATGCTCCTGAACTTGCTTGTGGATCAGAACACAACTCCCATTCAGATTATACCCTTCTCCCAGTTTTGCAATGCATTTTCAGTGTGCAAAAGGTTAGCTCAAAAATACCATCACATCTTGCATAAAAGATGTATACATAATGCAAATTTTACTGGTGAAAGCATCGACAAGTGTGCATTCTACATAAGAAGTACACACAAAAATGTGTATACAAAAACGTGTACACAAAAAATGTTTACAAAAGGTGCATGATGGGACAGGACAGATGGGACGGGATAGAATGGGATGAATTGAAAAGCAATGTCACACAACAGATGGAGCCGCGTGGAATGGATGTATGATTGAGTACCAGTGACCCAAACTGGATGGAATCAGCTGTTCAGCCTGCCCCTGCACATCATTTACATTCAATAATTTAACAGAACCTATTACCTTTACCTATGTTGGATCTGCTTAAGCCTGTGTCTCTGAAAGACATTTAATTACATATATTCTGCAATGCAGCCGCCATCCTGCATCTCGAGTTCTATTAAACTTTACTTTGCCAGACAAGAAAATGTGAAAGGGGACAATCCAGATCAATGCTGTTATCTGGGAGGCATTGCTGAAATAGATTTTAAATCCTTTGATTCAATTGCCTGCTGAGTTTGTGATTAGAGGAGGACTATCTTTTTGACTAATTGAAGGCTGTTAACTTGGCAGTCTTTGTAAAACTGGAGCATCCATCTATAATGCATATACTAAAAAGATAGTATGTAAGCACTGGTAACTTAATGAAGAAGTTTCAAGAAGAGAAAAATATACATATGGATCTGAACACTTCTAAAAACTGAACTGTATGATGCAATGGAGGGTTAGGGCATTTGACTAAAATTGTGGGACTGATTCTCATCTTTGATAGCTGTTTCTGGTTTCTCTTTTTTTTAAAAAAAAGAGAGAAAGAGAGAGAGATAAGAAAGTTGAGGTACCGGTATATTCCACATCACCCATATGTTTATATGTGGCCCATACCTTACCTATAGGCAACATATGGGCACTGCTAAAACTAATATGCTAGAAATTACTCAAGGAAATAGGTTACGCATAAATCCATTCCCATTTGACTTTCATCAATATTTTCCCTTTATGTCTGGTTCTTTTGATCAGAGCACTGGGTGACACACTGATATGCTTCTGTTGAAACAGCCAAATACCATTACTGTACTCTGTGGGATAACCAGCTTCATATAACCAACATGCTTAAGTCTAATTAATGCATGAAGGGGTTAATGCCATAGAGTAAGCTGTCCTGCCAGGCTTAGCTAGGTCACTCCCCTTCACCTTGGGAGGAAGCTAATCAAGCCTATTATTCAACCTCCAGTCTACTGAGGAAGCTAAATGTGTGAGGAGGTCTAAGCTGTTTGCTCCAATAATACCAACAATTTAGAAACTTTGACCACTTTGAAACTAAACTAAGTTTTACAGGCTGTGCAACCTTTCCGACTGATGTATGAACCTAACTTTTTGAGAGTTTGTAAGTAAACCAATTTTTAACTAACCATATTTACCTTTTCCTATGCTGGGAGAGAGCAAATTTTTGGAACTCACAAGGGCATATTTTTAAAATCCAACAGCCTATATTTCCACACTTTACTTTGCTGCATGTTTTGTGATTTTATATCTCTGCTGGGGTTCTCTCACCAAAGAGTACTTGCCCCAAACCTGGACCTTGGTATCCAGAAAATCTCCTTTTAATATACCTATTATTAATTTGCCACCAACATACTCCAGTATCCTTTTCCAAACTGCTGCTTTTCCCAAGGCAGCCAATTTGGCACATAATGTTTATCTCAGAAATGCAACCCCACATTTAGCTATTTTCTAATATATTATACTCAGGACCTTTTGACTTTTCTGCAGTCAAACTATGCACACTTTCTTACTTATTTGTCTCATCTCCTTTGAGTTACCTGCAGATTTTCTTAGTGAAGGTTTCCTATCATCATTATAAACATCCTTCTTCTTCTTCTTCTTCCTCTTCTTTTAAAAAATAGCCTAATGTTGAATCACAAAAAAATTCCCATAAGACAGCCTTTTAAATCATTACCACTCATGGATGTTTCTCTATCGACAGCCAGCAGCTTCAGACTTCTGAAATCATTTTGGGAGCTAATGTTCCATATTGGAAACGTGCAGGCTGCTGGAATAGACACTCCTATCCATTGTCTGTGGCATAAAAAGACATCTGTTCTCAGACATGACATAGCATGGAAGTAAAACCATTTCACAAAATGTCTTCATGATCAATAGATCCAGTCTTTCAAATGAACTGGGGCCAGCATCAACACCTGGCATTAGCTGAAGGGCCATAGCTCAGTGGTAGAGCATCTGTGTGAATGCAGGAGGCTCAAGGTTCAATCCTCCATCTCTTCAGACAGGGCTGGGAGAGATCCCTGCCAGAAACCTAGAAAGCCACTCCCAGTCTTGGTAGACAATAATGAGATCAATGGACTTGACATAAGGCAGCTTCCTGTGATCCAGTGTTCTGCCACACAGTCCAGGAATCACCTGGTGGCTGGGTCTAAATACCACTGTTCTCCCAATGGGGAATTCTAGGGCATGAAAATGGTGGCTGCCACCTCTGAGGCCTACCAATAGAGGAGAGAACCCTACCAGAAGGCTCATTGCTAAGGACACCTCAGATCTGGAGCTGACTCTGGAAAAATAATAATACTCAGAAGCCCTTTAATCTAGCCCAGAATTGGGGAACCTTTTTCAGCCTGAGGGACCTGTTCCCTGCTAGAGGCCAAATGCCAGTTGGTGGGCAGACCCAACATGACATGCTTTCCAAAACACTGAAGTCAAAAACCGGGGTGCGTGTCTTCCAGGGCTGTGTTTCCACACGAGTCACGTGGCATGTGTGAGGTCGCAGCTCCCAAAGATGTACCGTATTTTTCTCTCTATAAGACGCACCAGACCACAGGACGCACCTAGTTTTTGGAGGAGGAAAACAAGAAAAAAAATATTCTGAATCTCAGAAGCCAGAACAGCAAGAGGGATCGCTGCGCAGTGAAAGCAGCAATCCCTCTTGCTGTTCTGACTTTTGGGATAGCTGTACAGCCTGCGTTCACGCCATAAGACGCACACACATTTCCCCTTACTTTTTAGGAGGGAAATAGTCAGTCTTATAGAGCAAAAAACACGGTACTTTTTGGGGCCCGTGCTCCCCCAGTGCCTAAAAAGTGTGTTTTGGGCCCTGCAGGAGAAGGCCCACAAGAAGTGCTTTTTTGAGGGGGAGGGCAAGATTGCAATGCAAGATCCTGGCACCCAAAAATGCATGTTGTGCTCACACAAAAATAATGTTCCAATTTTATCAGGACAGTTGAGGGGTATGACATGAG